AACCAAGGGCAAACCCAGGACAAACTGTTGGCGTCCTTTCGTTCCAACTCGTCCCTCCATTCTGAAGTTAAGCGTTGTTGGAGAGGGATTTTGGAGAAGCTCCTTAAAGGATCGGGGAATATCCCCATGTGACTGGAGGCGTACAGGTGCGTGACGCTCCACACAAACAGTAATGAAGAGCAACAGCAAAGTGTTTTTCCTTGCTTTTGGTGGCAGAATTCCACCGAGAGCAAGGTGTCGGCAAGGATTGCAGGCAAGGGACTCTTTGAGTTCACGTCCCAAGCGAAGAAGGTGTCCATGACGGCTTGATCTATTGTGTCAAGGTGGAAGGGGAACAAGATCGTTCCAAAAATGATTAGTGCTAGGGTTTTGTTGAAGGCGACCCACTCTGCCCTTTCAGCCAAGTAGGACAGGTGGTCTTCCAACATTGATACTTTCCAACCCTGGGTGTTCCCTCTTGTAACCCTATTGTGTTTATGTTTGTGTTTTTTTTATTTGTCTTATGCAGGTCCACATGTTCATCCTATTGCAGGTTTGATCCTATTCTACCAATACTTATTAATGTTTCTATACTTTCACTGTCATCCTATTGTGTTTTTGTTTGCGTTTCTTTTATGCAGGTTCAAGTGTACATCATATTGCTGGTATTATCCTATTCCACCAATACTTATTAATATGTCTATACATCCCCTATCCTCTTATTATGTTTGTCTTTGTGTTTGTCTTAAGCACGTATACAATCTATTACAGGTATGATCCTATTCCACAAATACTTATTAATGTTTCTTTATGTCTACTTTCAACTTATTGTGTTCATCTTATGCAGGTGCAACTATACATCCTGTAGTAGGTATGTTCCTATTTTACCAATACTTATTAATGTGTCTATACTTCCACTGTCCTCTTATTATGTTTGTCTTATGCAGATGCACATGTATATCCTTTTGCAGGTATGATCTTATTCCACCAATATTTACCAATGTGTCTACACTTCCACTATCATCCTATTATGTTTGTATTTTTTTTATTTGTCTTATCTATGTGCACGTGTACATCCTATTGCAGGTATGATCCAATTCAACCAATACTTATTAATGTTTCTATACTTCCACTATCGGCGTATTGTGTTTGTGTTTGCATTTGTCTTATGCAAATGCACGTGTACATCCTAATGCAGGTATGATCCTATTCTACCAATACTTATTAATGTGTCTATACTTTCACTGTCATCCTATTATGTTTGCGTTTGCTTTTTTGTTTGCGTTTTCAATTGTGTTTGTTTTTGTGTTTGTGTTTTTATTTTTATTTTTGTGTGTTTTTTTTTTTTGAGTTTGTGTTTGACATTGTGTTTGTGTTTGTATGATTTTATGTATGTTTATGTTTGTGATTGTTTGTGTATATGGTTGTGTGTGGGTTTGTGTTGTTCGCTCAATTTATGTCGAGCTAGTAATTTTACAACCCTCTCAACTCACTATGAGTTAAGTATTTTGGGTCACTCAACCACATTTATTTTCTTTTAATCAATGTTTGTTTTTAATAAGCACAACTAAATTGCAGGACTGAAAGAATATGCTGTTGTGACACGAAAAATCTGTGACGCGACGAAAATGCAGCTAATGTTATTAAGCAATTGAACATAGAGGTGCACATGTATATCCTATTACAGGTACGATCCTATTCCACTAATTCTTAATAGTGTGTCCATATTTTCACTGTAACCCTATTGTGTATGTGTTTTTTTTTAATTTGTCTTATGCAGGTCCACATGTACATCCTATTGCAGGTATATGATCCTATTCCACCAATAATTATTAATGTTTCTATACTTCCACTGTCATCCTATTGTGTTTTTGTTTGCGTTTCTTTTATGCAGGTTCAAGTGTACATCATATTGTTGGTATGATCCTATTCCACCAATACTCATTAATATGTCTATACATCCACTATCCTCGTATTATGTTTGTCTTTGTGTTTGTCTTATGCAGGTGCACGTGTACATCCTATTGCAGGTGTGATCCTATTCCATCAATACTTATCAATATGTCTATACTTCCATCGTCATCCTATTGTGTTTGTCTTGTGTAGGTGCATGTGAATATCCTATTGTAGGTATGATCCTATTCCACCAATACCTATTAATGTGTATATACTTCCACTGTCATCCTATTGTATTTCTGTTTGTGTTTGACTCATGTAGGTGCACGTGTACATTCCATTGCAGGTATGTTCCTACTCCACCAATAGTTACTAATGTTTCTACACGTCCACTGTCAACTTATTATATTCATCTTTGTCTTTGTCTTATGCAGGTACAAGTGTACATCCTATTGTAGGTATGATCTTATTTCACTAGTACTTATTAATATGTTTATACATCCATTGTCATTCTATTGTGTTTGTGTTTATCTTATGTAGGTGCATGTGAACATTCTACTATAGGTATGATCCTATTGCACCAATACTTATTAATGTGTATATACTTCCACTGTCATCCTATTGTATTTTTGTTTGTGCTTAACTTATGCAAATGCACGTATACAATCTATTACAGGTATGATCCTATTCTACAAATACTTATTAATGTTTCTTTATGTCTACTTTCAACTTATTGTGTTCATCTTTGTGTTTGTCTTATGCAGGTGCAAGTGTACATCCTGTTGTAGGTATGGTCTTATTTCAAGTATACTTATTAATGTGTCTATACTTCCACTGTCCTCTTATTATGTTTGTCTTATGCAGATGCACATGTACATCTTTTTGCAGGTATGATCCTATTCCACCAATATTTACCAATGTGTCTACACTTCCACTGTCATCCTATTGTGTTTGTATTTTTTTTATTTGTCTTATCTATGTGCACGTGTACATCCTATTGCAGGTATGATCCAATGCCACCAATACTTATTAATGTTTCTATACTTCCACTATCAACGCATTGTGTTTGTGTTTGCATTTGTCTTATGCAAATGCACATGTACATCCTAATGCAGGTATGATCCTATTCTACCAATACTTATTAATGTGTTTATACTCTCACTATCATCCTATTGTGTTTGCGTTTGCTTTTTTGTTTGCATTCTTATTTGTGTTTGTTTTTGTGTTTGTGTTTTTATTTTTGTTTGTGTTTTTTTTTGCGTTTGTGTTTTTTTTTTGCGTTTGTGTTTGACGTTGTGTTTGTGTTTGTATGATTTTGTGTGTGTTTATGTTTGTGATTGTTTGTGTTTATGTTTGTGTGTGTGAGTTTGTGTTGTTCGCTCAATTTATGTCGAGCTAGTAATTTTACAACCCCCTCAACCCACTATGAGTTAAGTATTTTGGGTCACTCAACCGCATTTATTTTCTTTTACTCAATGTTTGTTTTTAATAAGCACAACTAAATTGCAAGGCTGAAAGAATATGCTGTTGTGGCACGAAAAATCTTTGACCCGACGAAAATGCAGCTAATGTTATTGAGCAATTGAACATAGAGGAGCACATGTATATCCTATTGCAGGTACGATCCTATTCCACTAATTCTTAATAGTGTGTCCATATTTTCACTTTAACGCTATTGTGTTTGTGTTTGTGTTTTTTTTTATTTGTCTTATGCAGGTCCACATGTACATCCTATTTCAGATATGATCCTATTCCACCAATACTTATTAATGTTTCTATACTTCCAATGTCATTCTATTGTGTTGTTGTTTGTATTTCTTTTATGCAGGTTCATGTGTACATCATATTGCTGGTATGATCCTATTCCACCAATACTTATTGATATGTCTATACATCCCCTATCCTCTTATTATGTTTGTCTTATGCAGGTGCACGTGTACATCCTATTGCAGGTGTGATCCTATTCCATCAATACTTGATAATGTGTCCATATTTTCACTGTAACCCTATTGTGTTTGTGTTTGTTTTTTTTATTTGTCTTATGCAGGTCCACATGTACATCCTATTGTAGGTATGATCCTATTCTACCAATTCTTATTAATGTTTCTATAATTTCACCGTCATCCTAAGTATGATTAGTACAAATAAAATTATAAGAGAAGTATAATATAAAATAATTTACAGGAAGAATATATTTTGACTAAATAAATAAGAGTAACATTAATCATTTTATATATTTTTTATTAAAATCTTCTTAAAATAACATTTATTATTCATGTTAATAATATATATTAAATATAAACTCTAAATCCTAAATTTATAAATCTAAAACTAAATTTAGATAATATATAATATGATTAATTAAATTATTTATAATATACATTAATTATTGAAATAAAATACAATTGTGAGTTAACATCAATCCACGTAAGATTTGTATTGTCTAAAATATTTTCTTATAAATTTGAGAGACATTCATCTTAAAATTTATAAATTAAAAAAATATAATAAATTTACTAAATTTTATTGTGTTACAAAATATTTTTTCTTTAATATGTTCAAATAAATATAAATGACATCAACAAAAAGAGAATATAGTTAATAAATTAATTGAATTGGAAAAGTGAAAGACCCTCCACTTTCTAATTTGAATATTTTAATTTATATAAGTATTTTACCGTCTCTGTTAATATATATAAAATACGTATTATCAATTCCTTTTCTCTCAAATATTCTAACAATTAATACAAGTTATTATTATTATTATTATTATTATTATTATTATATATATATATATATATATATATATATATATATATATATCATAAAAAGATTACAAAGGACTGGATAAATAATAAATAAATAAAAATGGCAAATTAAATTTATAATTCACACTCATTATTTTGTAACTATTTGACTTCTATGAAAGTCACACGGTTGAGTAGAGCCCCCTGCGGTGCTCTCCACCGCATGGAACAAACTATTCTCCGGAGAAAAAAAATTCCGTTTGTATGTTTTTTTTTTTTTTACGGCAGAAGTTCCTTATAAATACTTGCTCCGGACTTAACTTAACTTTTCCGATACAGTGATATACTTCATCCATTCAAGCTGTGCTTGAATTGAAGCTATTACCGCAATCAGTTTTTTAGTTTTCAAGAAAAAAAGAAAAAGAAAAGAGATAGCAATGGCGCAAGCTCCAGCGGAAGACCATTTTTTCAACACGGCATTGTACGTTGGGGATCTTGACAGCAGCGTCACCGAAGATCAGCTCTATGATCACTTCAACGTGGTTGCCCAAGTCGTTTCCATTAGAATTTGAAGGGACTCTTTAACTCAGAAATCCCTCGGTTACGGCTACGTCAATTTCAGTAACGTTCAGGATGGTTAGTTTCTTTTTGCATTCATAAGATTAGTCGCCTGTGTTCTTGGGTTGATACAATTCTTGGCGTTTGTTCTTGCATAGGATTGATCTTCGCTTTTTTTGTTGCATTGCTCGGTGTAGTTGCTTTATAGTTCTTGCATTGATAGGACTAATGGTGGATGTTGTCGTTTATGACTATTTTAACGTTCATCACAAATCGTAACTATCATGCAGCCGCAAAAGCATTGAATGAGCTAAATTTCAGTGTGTTGAAAGGCAAACCCATTAGGGTAATGTACTCTAACCGGGACCCTACTCTTCGTAGGACTGGTGCAGCTAACCTTTTTATAAAGGTGCCTTTTGCAGATTCTTCCCCCTTGATGAGTATTATTGAATCTTTTTCTGCTTGCTCATTGAATCTTGTAATTTCTTGATTGATGGTGCAGAATTTGGATAAGTCAATCGATCACAAGGATCTATTCGATGTTTTTGCGACTTTTGGAAATATTCCATCTTGCAAGGTTGCGAGGGATGCTTCTGGCGTGTCTAAGGTCATGCTTTTGTGCGGTTTGATAACGAAGCCTCTGCAAAAGAGGCTACTGACAGGTTAAATGGCATGCTGCTCAATGATAAGAAGGTCTATGTGGGTCCTTTCATGCGAAAGAAGGATAGAGAGGCTGTTCCTAGTGGTGACGCAAACTTTAGTAATGTTTATGTAAAAAACCTGTCGCATAAAATAACGGATGCTGAATTGGGGACAATTTTTGGAAAATATGGACCCATTACTAGTGCTGCAGTGATGAAAGATGCAGAAGGTAGATCAAAAGGTTTTGGTTTTGTCAATTTCACAAATGCTGCTGCTGCTAGAGCTCGGGACGCTCTTGATGGAAAGACTTTTGATGGTAGGCAGTGGTATGTTGGAAAAGCCCAGAGAAAAACTGAAAGGGAGCTTGAGCTGAAAGAGCGTCATGAGCAGAATTGGAAGCGTCAACCTTATAAGCAAGGTACAAACTTGTATATCAAGAACTTGGACAGTAGTATTGGGGATGAATAACTCAAGGAAATTTTCTCTGGGTTTGGTACAATAACCTCATCCAAGGTGTGTGAGTATGACTCTTCGTTTTGTTCGTATCTGCATTTGTCAAATCTTCATCGTCGTAAAGCGTATTTATTTTTGCCTGACATGCACAGATTATGCGAGATCCAAATGGAGTGAATAAAGGATATGGATTTGTTGCATATACAAATCCGGAGGACGCAAATCGGGCTGTATCCGCACTGGTCGCGATCCTAGTTCCAGGTTAGTTTCGTTGCTGTTAGGTTTCGCTGTCAAACAGTTTTTGAATTTTCTTTTTATTTTTTCATTTTAATTTTGAGGCGTTGTTGAGTAGGACTTACGAGATTATTCCACCGGTGAATTGGGGGATTCGGATTGTGCCGGAGAAGAAGGCGTTTGTGATTGAGCGATTCGGGAAGTACGTTAAGACTCTTCCCTCTGGAATCCATTTTTTGATTCCTTTCGTTGATCGTATCGCTTATGTACATTCGCTCAAGGAGGAGGCTATTAACATTCCCGACCAGAGTGCTATTACCAAGGACAATGTCACCATCCTCATCGATGGAGTGCTTTATGTCAAGGTTTCTGTTTCTTGTGTCTTTGTATTCGGTTATTGTATTTGAGTAGTCAAGTGGTGTTGAACTGTTTTTTTGGTTAAATTTCTTAATATGCAATTCTGGGATAAAAGTTAAGAAGGTAAAGTGAATTGAATTTCTCTTATAGGTTAAAATTAATTTATGCATAAGCTGATTTATAGAAGTTCTTGCATTTAGCTTCTAAAATAGCTTCTTTTAGTTTATGTATGGCTAATTTGAACTTATGGGAGGAGAAGTTTGATTCATTTTTGTCCAAACATGATCATGATTAATTTTATTTATTTATTATTTTTTGCTTCGGGAGTGCAGATTGTGGATCCTAAGCTGGCGTCTTATGGGGTGGAGAATCCCATTTATGCTGTCATTCAACTGGCACAAACAACAATGCGTAGTGAGCTTGGTAAGATTACTCTTGACAAGACTTTTGAGGAAAGGGACACACTCAATGAAAAGATTGTGGTGAGTGTACTTATCAGTTCTTTGAATTTTGTTTGTGCTGTTCATGTTATTCCCTTTTCCTTACATGAGGAAGCATTTTAGATACTTTAATTTCAAGTCACAGATAAAATCTTGTTGGTGGAAGTCTCCTGTAAAGCAGAACATAAAATAATTCTGAAAAGTAAAAACATGTCTCTTTAGATGGAGCTATGCAAATTATGGAAAGGATGATTCGTGTAATTTATAATTCCATAGTCCTAAACCAATGGGGTTGGGTCTAATAGAAGGGGCTAGTCCCTCATAACATGGCGAAATAAGGTTTAAATTGAATCTTTGCTGGGAGAGATATTCACATTTAGTGTCAGATTGTGCTTCTAACAGGATTGTCTCTGTGAGAAACAAAAGAAGGGAAAAAATAAAATCCACAGTCCTACTTCAATCCAGTTATATATACGGGAAAGAAAAAGAGAAACCAGACAATAGCTAAAAGTGAAAGTTTTGTATTAGTTGTGTTGGTTGGGTGATATTGGTTTCTTTCCTGCTGTAATCATGTTCAACATTGCGTAAGTCCCTAAACTATGATAAAATAGGAAACATTTCTGACAATTGGTTATGGGTTTATATATTAGATTTATTTAGCAAGGTTCGCATAATAAACATAGTCTTGTGTTGGTCATATAATAATGGTTAATAGTGTGACAAAATTATTGCAGGAGGCCATTAATGTGGCTGCCAAAAGTTGGGGTCTGGAGTGCCTTCGATATGAAATAAGTAAGTTTTGACAGTGCAGAAATAATTTCCCTATATTTTTCACTTGACAGTTTCTGTGTAAATCTTTTTCTGGCTGTCCTTCTGTAGGGGATATCTCTCCTCCACGTGGAGTGAGAGCAGCTATGGAGATGCAAGCAGAGGCAGAAAGAAAAACGAGAGCTCAAGTTCTTGAATCTGAAGGTAATCTATTTGATATTCCAATCCTTCATATGCTCAATTTATCTTACTGCATTATTTTTCATCATGAAATTAGTTTTACTACCCATATCATTCAACTGAAAAAGGATCCTGTTCCTGACCCAATTACTACCTGTAACTTTTTAAGTTTACTGGTGTTGATATCCTGTAGTGTTTAACAGGAGAAAGACAGGCACACATAAACATTGCCGATGGAAAGAAGAGTTCAGTGATCTTAGCATCAGAAGATACGAGGATGGATCAAGTTAACAGAGCCCAAGGTTTTTTATATCTTGATAAATTGGTTCCACCTTGCATTTATGTTTCAATATTAATTCTTTAAGACAAACTTGGATGTCTAGCGAGCATGGTGCTATATATTATCCCTTCATTTGATTTCAAACTGTCGCTGTCGTTTATACCAAGGATATTTCACAGAGTGATTCTCTTGTTGAGAAGAATGATCTTGTGTGCCAAGATAATAATGAATTGTGGATTGGTTCATGGCCTTATGAGTAGCTGATTTGTGTTTTTTTCAATAACATGCCATGATTAATGTGCTGATCTATTTGATATGACATCTTCTGTTTTCTTCATATATCAATTTCAATTGGTTGATTTGATATTTTCAAAACCTAATGATTAATATGATTCTTCAGGTGAGGCTGAAGCCATCCTAGCTAAAGCAAAAGCAACAGCTGAGGGACTGGCTCATGTGTCAGCATCCCTAAAAGAAAATCGAGGACCAGAGGTGAGGATCTTCAGTTTTTTCATGTTTTATATATCACAACTTGTACTAGCTTTTTTAATGTTGATTAGTTTAACTCATTTTTGGTTGTTAGATTAATTTGCTTGTGTTTCGTTGGTATCTCTATTTTGCTTGGCATTTTTTATTTTTGTATTGTCATTCCAGCGATAATTGGGAGACTTCTGTTTTGTACGTAAAACATGTTATTGATTTTCCCTTCCTAGTTAGTCATAGTTTTCATTACAGATCAACTTTTTATAATGTGAAGTTTCTAGAAGACAATCAAGTAAATGACTGACCATAATAAATAGGGTTTATCACTGAAGATATGGGAAATATCAAGTGGTGAATCTGTGGATAAATTTGCGCACATCTGTTTGAACCTTATTGAGTCCCATGGAATGTCAAGGAAGGGAATAATAATGTCATTTAATTTTTGCAGGCAGCTAGTTTAAGGATTGCAGAGCAATATATTCAAGCTTTCAGTAATATAGCCAAGGAGGTAATATAGCCCTTAAACTGATTGGTATTCAAGTCTTGCATTGCATAATTTGTTTAGTTGGAAAATTGGTTGTCATTTCATCTTTACTTTATCCTCTGGGCACAACAAAGTTGCTTCCTAGCTCTGCATCCAATCCTGCACAACAAGGTTAGAGGTAATATACTATGCAGCCACAGGTCGCAGTTAACTCTATGCTTTATTATAATCGTGTTCTGGTCACCTTTAGGAATAAAATTTCCCAAATCCCAATTGGGTAATATTATTAACGTATTTTATGCAGGTACAATTTTCACAAATGAGGATTGCTGAGATGAGACCACAATTTTCACTAGGTGCACCACCTCGAATTCTAACGTACCCTACGAGGCCTCCTGAGATGACACCACAATTATTGTATGGGCAAACACATCGAGCAATCATAACTCAAGTAATTAAAAAAACTTGTTATCGCTGGTTTTTCAGTTTTCATTTTGATGATGTCATATTATTAGGAGACCTCCGTCTTGGAATAAAATGTGAATTTCACCTTCTATATTAGCTTGTGAATTCTTCATGGTTCAGTTGGTCTTGCGTTTTTACTCGTGCATAACCTGCACCCGACCTACATTTTAAGTTTTAATGATTCAGTTGATTGTGATGTATTCTGTATTTCTGTTCCTCCTGCATTGGTGATGTGTGTTGCAATATTAAATGAACATTTGATCTCCATTACAGACTGCATTTGGTTTCCAGCAACAGTTTTTTGGTGGAGGGACGGGTCCAGCGCCAGTCTTCTATCCAGTTCTTCTGCCGCCGCCCAGAGGACCCCAAGAAGCAGGTCCTATGCGATTGCCAATTTTACCCCAACAGGTCTTATTCTGCATTCCATTGGTGATTCCTTTGTATTTTCCGTTCTCTATTGCTGATGTGGATACTTGTTGCTGTGGTTTTCAGATGGGTCCAAGGGGACCTATTTATCATAATCCTCCTCCTGCCCCCAATGCTCAAAATATTCGTCCGGAACCGAAAGGAACAGCTGAAGAAATGCCCCCTTTTATTGGCACTGGTCAGCCAATCCCAATTCAGGCCCTGGCAGCAGCCGTTGCCAATGCTACTACTCCTGATCAGCAGAGGATTGTAAGACCTGTTTCTGGCATGAGTTTCAACACATTTGGGTTGAGTACTAATTGTCTTATAAACTCTCTTGTGAATGGTTTTTGCAGCTGCTTGGGGAAACTTTATTCCCGTTAGTAGAAAAGCTGGTGCGTGATGCAGCACCAAAGGTTACTGGTATGCTTTTGGAGATGGACCATGCTGAGGTATTACATCTGATTGAGTCACCAGATGCTCTCGACACAAAAGTTACTGACGCCATGTATTTGTTGAGAAAATTTGAAGTGATCAAACAATCGATCGACTAATTGACTGTCTTTGAACGACAATCCACAGTCTAAGACTCTGTATGTTAGTTTATAGAAATTCAGACAGTCATATTTTTGTGTTTGTGGCTTTTTCTAGGATTAGTAAACACTCATTGTGGTAGCTTACTGATAGCTGTTTGCTTTTGTTCTCTTTAATACTCTACTCAGTTTGATACTTTTGCCTAAGTTTTCTTTAAAATAAGCGTAAATTTCAGCTTTTAACTGCCTTTTCATGAATAAGCACAACTGAATTGCAGGACCGAAAGAATATGCTCTTGTGGTATTGAGCAATTGAACATAGAGGTGCACATGTATATCCTATTGCAGGTACGATCTTATTCCACTAATTCTTAATAGTGTGTCCATATTTTCACTGTAACCCTATTGTGTTTGTGTTTTTTTTTATTTGTTTTATGCAAGTCAACATGTAGGATCCTATTCCACCATTACTTATTAATGTTTCTATACTTCCACTGGCATTCTATTATATTTTTGTTTGCGTTTCTTTTATGCAGGTTCAAGTGTACATCATATTGCTGGTATGACCCTATTCCACCAATACTTATTAATATGTCTATACATCCCCTATCCTCTTATTATGTTTGATTTTGTGTTTGTCTTATGCAGGTGCACGTATACATCCTATTGCAGGTGTGATCCTATTCCATCAATACTTATCAATATGTCTATACTTCCATCGTCATCTTATTTTGTTTGTCTTATGTAGGTGCATGTGAACATCCTATTGTAGGTATGATCCTATTCCACCAATACCTATTAATGTGTATATACTTAAACTGTCATCCTATTGTATTCTGTTTGTGTTTGACTCATGTAGGTGCACGTGTACATCCCATTGCAGGTATATTCCTACTCCACCAATAGTTACTAATGTTTCTACACGTCCACTGTCAACTTATTATGTTCATCTTTGTCTTTGTCTTATGCAGGTACAAGTGTACATTCTATTGTAGGTATGATCTTATTTCACCAGTACTTATTAATATGTTTATACATTCACTGTCATTCTATTGTGTTTGTGTTTATCTTATGTAGGTTCATGTGAACATTCTATTGTAGGTATGATTCTATTGCACCAATACTTATTAATGTGTATATACTTCCACTGTCATCCTATTGTATTTCTGTTTGTGCTTAACTTATGCAAATGCATGTATACAATCTATTACAGGTATGATCCTATTCCACTAATACTTATTAATGTTTTTTTATGTCTACTTTCAACTTATTGTGTTCATCTTTGTGTTTGTCTTATGCAGGTGCATGTGAACATCCTATTGTAGGTATGATTCTATTCCACCAATACCTATTAATGTGTATATACTTCCACTGTCATCCTATTGTATTTCTGTTTGTGTTTACCTCATGTAGGTGCACGTGTACATCCCATTGCAGGTATGTTCCTACTCCACCAATAGTTACTAATGTTTCTACACGTTCATTGTCAACTTATTATGTTCATCTTTGTCTTTGTCTTATGCAGGTACAAGTGTACATTCTATTGTAGGTATGATCTTATTTCACCAGTACTTATTAATATGTTTATAGATCCACTGTCATTCTATTGTGTTTGTGTTTATCTTATGTAGGTGCATGTGAATATTCTATTATAAGTATGATCCTATTGCACCAATACTTATTAATGTGTATATACTTCCACTATCATCCTATTGTATTTCTGTTTGTGCTTAACTTATGCAAATGCACATATACAATCTATTACAGGTATGATCCTATTCCACAAATACTTATTAATGATTCTTTATGTCTAATTTCAACTTATTGTGTTCATCTTTGTGTTTGTCTTATGCAGGTGTAAGTGTACATCCTGTTGTAGGTATGATCCTATTTCACGAATACTTATTAATGTGTGTATACTTCCACTATCCTCTTATTATGTTTGTCTTATGCAGATACACATGTACATCTTTTTGCAGGGAAGATCCTATTCCACCAATATTAACCAATGTGTCTACACTTTCACTGTCATCTTATTGTGTTTGTATTTTTTTTTATTTGTCTTATCTATGTGCACGTGTACATCCTATTGCAGGTATTATCCAATTCCACCAAAACTTATTAATGTTTCTATACTTCCACTATCGGCGTATTGTGTTTGTGTTTGTCTTATGCAAATGCACGTGTACATCCTAATGCAAATATGATCTTATTCTACCAATACTTATTAATGTGTCTATACTTTCACGGTCATCCTATTGTGTTTACGTTTGCTATTTTGTTTGCGTTTTCTTTTGTGTTTTTTTTTTTTTTTTTTTGTTTGTGTTTTTTTTGCGTTTGTGTTTGACCTTGTGTTTGTGTTTGTATGATTTTGTGTGTGTTCATGTTTGTGTTTATGTTTATGTGTGTGAGTTTGTTTTGTTCGCTCAATTTATATCGAGCTAATAATTTTACAACCCCCTCAACCCACTATGAGTTAAGTATTTGGGGTCACTCAACCATACTTATTTTCTTTTACTCAATGTTTGCTTTTAATAAGCACAACTGAATTGCAGGACTGAAAGAATATGCTGTTGTGGCACGGAAAATCTGTGACGCGATAAAAATGCAGCTAATGTTATTGAGAAATTGAACATAGAGGTGCACATGTATATCCTATTGCAGGTATGATCCTATTCCACTAATTCTTAATAATGTGTCCATATTTTCACTGTAACCCTATTATGTTTGTGTTTGTTTTTTTTTTATTTGTCTTATGCAGGTCCACATGTATATCCTATTGTATTTCTGTTTGTGTTTGACTCATGTAGGTGCACGTGTACATCCTATTGTAGGTATGTTTCTACTCCACCAATAGTTACTAATGTTTCTACACGTCCACTGTCAACTTATTATGTTCATCTTTGTCTTTGTCTTATGCAGGTACAAGTGTACATCCTATTGTAGGTATGATCTTATTTCACCATTACTTATTAATATGTTTATAGATCCACTGTCATTCTATTGTTTTAATGTTTATCTTATGTAGGTGCATGTGAACATTCTACTGTAGGTATGATCTTATTGCACCAATACTTATTAATGTGTATATACTTCCACTGTCATCCTATTATGTTTCTGTTTGTGCTTAACTTATGCAAATGCATGTATACAATCTATTACAGGTATGATCCTATTCCACAAATACTTATGAATGTTTCTTTATGTCTACTTTCAACTTATTTTGTTCATCTTTGTGTTTGCCTTATGCAGGTGCATGTGAACATCCTATTGTAGGTATGATCCTATTCTACAAATACCTATTAATGTGTATATACTTCCACTGTCATCCTATTGTATTTCTGTTTGTGTTTGACTCATGTAGGTGCATGTGTACATCCCATTACAAGTATGTTCCTACTCCACCAATAATTACTAATGTTTCTACACGTCCACTGTCAATTTATTATGTTCATCATTGTCTTTGTCTTATGCAGGTACAAGTGTACATCCTATTGTAGGTATGATCTTATTTCACCAGCACTTATTAATATGTTTATAGATCCACTGTCATTCTATTGTGTTTGTGTTTATCTTATGTAGGTGCATGTGAACATTCTACTGTATGTATGATCCTATTGCACCAATACTTATTAATGTGTATATATCCTATTGTGTTTCTGTTTGTGCTTAACTTATGCAAATGCATGTATACAATCTATTACAGGTATGATCCTATTCCACAAATACTTATGAAAATGTAGGTGCATGTGAACATTCTACTGTAGGTATGATCCTATTGAACCAATACTTATTAATGTGTATATACTTCCACTGTCATCCTATTGTGTTTCTGTTTGTGCTTAACTTATTCAAATGCATGTATACAATTTATTACAGGTATGATCCTATTCCACACATACTTATGAATGTTTCTTTATGTCTACTTTTAACTTATTTTGTTAATCTTTATGTTTGCCTTATGCAGGTGCATGTGAACATCCTATTGTAGGTATGATCCTATTCTACCAATACCTATTAATGTGTATATACTTCCACTGTCATCCTATTGTATTTCTGTTTGTGTTTGACTCATGTAGGTGCATGTGTACATCCCATTGCAGGTATGTTCCTACTCCACCAATAGTTAGTAATGTTTCTACACATCCACTGTCAACTTATTATGTTCATCTTTGTCTTTATCTTATGCAGGTACAAGTGTACATCCTATTGTAGGTATGATCTTATTTCACCAACACTTATTAATATGTTTATAGATCCACTGTCATTCTATTGTGTGTGTTTATCTTATGTAGGTGCATGTGAACATTCTACTGTAGGTATGATCCTATTGCACCAATACTTATTAATGTGTATATACTTTCACTGTCATCCTATTGTGTTTCTGTTGTGCTTAACTTATGCAAATGCATGTATACAATCTATTACAGGTATGATTCTATTTCACAAATACTTATGAATGTTTCTTTATATCTACTTTCAACTTATTTTGTTCATCTTTGTGTTTGTCTTATGCAGGTGCATGTGAACATCCTATTGTAGGTATGATCCTATTCCACCAATACCTATTAATGTGTATATACTTCCACTGTTATCCTATTGTATTTCTATTTGTGTTTGACTCATGTAGGTGCACGTGTACATCCTATTGTAGGTATGTTTCTACTCCACCAATAGTTACTAATGTTTTTACACGTCCACTTGTCAACTTATTATGTTCATCTTTGTCTTTGTCTTATGCAGGTACAAGTGTACATCCTATTGTAGGTATGATCTTATTTCACCATTACTTATTAATATGTTTATAGATCCACTTGTCATTCTATTGTGTTTAGTGTTTATCTTATGTAGGTGCATGTGAACATTCTACTGTAGGTATGATCCTATTGCACCAATACTTATTAATGTGTATATACTTCCACTTGTCATCCTATTGTGTTTCGTTTGTGCTTAACTTATGCAAATGCATGTATACAATCTATTACAGGTATGATCCT